GTCAGAGAAGCTTAGCGTTGTCGTTCCTCCGTAGTAAACCCTTCCCCCTATGCTCACAGCTCCACCTTCGTCTCAATCGTAGTAGTGCACCTGAGGACCGACGATGCTCCCGTAAGTCCGGTGGTGCTCCCTACAGCACCGACGGCAACACCAGATCTCGCGTGTCACCACAAGTCATCGCAATAGAGGCCCAGCAGCAAGCCCGTCCTTCACAACATTGGTGTTGTTGTGAGCCCACCCTTCGTAACATCAGTGAGTGAGGAAGCACACAGACGCCCTAAGATTTGCAGGATGGTTCTTGCACATTGCAACAACGCACGGCATGACACCAATGGTATTTTTAGAATGACTTACCCATGTGTTGGGGATATAACTACTGAGTATAAACCGCCCAGGAGGGGCCGGGTTATGCTCACAAGTAATCATCTGTATTGAAGCCCACAAAGACAAGGTGTTTGGCGCTTTACTACAGAGACTTAGAGGCCCAGAGCCCAAGGGCGGATTAGGGCCCATAGACATAAACCGCCATGAGATATGTAACTTGTACTGTAAGATAGGAAAAGGTAGAAACCGAGCCGGACAAATGTATGAGCCGGCCTCGGGATTCTGTAAACCGCCTGGCGTCAACCTGTGTATATAAAGGGACGACCCGGCAGCGATTCAGGGACAAGAAACAACAACTCGAGAGATAGGTAAAGCGGATTCACTCCCTGCTCATCGAGACCCCATCAATTCCACCACAACTGGATCGTAGGCTTTTACCTTCACCGCAAGGGGCCGAACCAGTATAAACTCCCCGTGTCCTTTGTCCGGTTTAACCCCTTTAAGCTAATCTCGTTGCGATGGCTCCACGACTAAGTCCTCTCACTAGGATATCTGACGTGATAATTCAATGACAATTGGCGCCCACCGTGGGGCTATCACATGATGGTTTCGAGTTCTTGAAGGGCAATGTTGAAGGACTTAAGGGATACGCGGTTGGCCGATGACCAAGAGTCGTCACGGCAAGCTCTACATCGACGATGTAGGCTGGGGCCCCAATGCCAGCTCGATCGAGTACGGATACCGGGTCCCCTTTGGAGGAATTCACGTCTTCATCGGCAAGATCGGTGAACTGGGCCCCGAGCCGAACATCTGCACCGACCTCGTCGAGACGGCTCAGCGTGCAAGCCGTGCCCGGGTTCAGCCTGCCATGAAGCGTGCGTTCGTGGGATTCATCCATGGTGCGGAAGCTGAACCGATGTCCAATGGTGAGACAGTCGTTTATTCTGATGGCGAATCATCCACCGGCGAGACCGAGTCGCTGTACCAACTACAAGATGGCCGGTTCGGGGGCTATTCTGATGGCGACAGTATTCCGGACCACCTTGAACCGCCAAACCGGGTTGCGATATTCATGGCTGGTACGCAACCCACATTGCAATCTTCAACTGCAGCAGCAATGACTTCCGGATCGGCAGCCGGGGCAGGAGGCCCCGCGCGCCGACCGACTCAAGTTCTGTCCGGTTTATTGGACGCCTGGACGACATTGTTGACCACAGCAGTCACCCCGGAGACTCAAGATCGGCATAATGCGGAGGTCACAAAACTGCGGGATCAGATAACTCGGGCCAAGGAGGACTTGGCGGCTGAGGAAACCAGGATGGCTAATGAGCGGGCCACTTTAGATGCCCAGTCACAGCAGATTCAAGCAGAGAATTACCGGCTCATGCTGGATCAGAACGCCTCGAATGACGTATTGAGGAGGAGGCATCGGTCTCGTCTACCGCCGGTTTACGAAGCAATGAATCTCTTCAACACGCCAGGAGCAGGACCCAGTAATCCGGCAGCAGTAAACCGGACTGAAGAACCTGGGACAGGAGCGCCAGATCAGCCACGGGTGACGGACCCGCCTCGACGAACAGATGACCCGCCGCAATACATGCCGACGCCACCAGGTCACTTCTCCAGCCCTTTGGATAACATGATCGCTGCGACGTCGCGGTTGGCAGCTATTCCAATGGAAGGCGAGTCACCAGCGGCGGTTGAGATGCGGCGGGAAAGGGATCTTCTTCAAACCGCTGTTGTGCAGCAGCAGACCTATTCGTATAGCCGGGACAGAATTCATTCAACCCCTCGCCCGAGCAAGAGTTACAACAGGCACATTGATGAACCGGTTGTGTCAAGCAGTGCGCGGAACCGTGAAGCCGCTGGAGGGCCTAATCCGGTGCGCGGTGGTGCAAATGCTCAGGATGTCGTAGGTTATGGTAGAGCGCGTCGGGAGGCAGAGTTAGCAACGCAGTACGCGAATCATCGGCCTACTCCGGTTCGACCGACAACGTCAGTGGAACGAGGACTTCCTTTCAGCTCTTGGGGGGTGCCGTGTCTCACCCCGGCTCTATGCAATGTGCGGTTACCCAAGGATTTCAAGGGCCCGCGTAAGGTGCCTAATTACACCGCCGATTTACCCCCTGAATCATGGGTCGAGAGCTATGAGATGGCAATGGAGATGCTGGATGTGGATGAAGCAGCGTGTGCAAAGTACTTCACCATGATGTTGGATGGAACGGTTCACACTTGGTTAAAGAGTTTGCCCGTTAACTCCGTCGGTTCATGGGCAGAGTTGAAGGCCCGGTTTATAACAAACTTCAAGGACACGTGCTAGCAACCCATGTCAATTGTGGATCTGGCCACCTGTGTCCAAGAAGAAGGCGAATCAACAACTCATTGGGTGCGCCGAATTTCGGAAATCCTGCATTCGTCGGACTGCATCAATGCTGATTCGGCAGTCATAACATTAGAGGGCAATTGGCGGTTTAAGCCGCTGAAGTTGAAGTTGGGACAACTCAAGCGTCACTGCAATGACATGGGAACACTTATGGCAGCTCTGGTTAAGTATGCCGATTCTGATAGTACCAAGAATCCCGAGTCTGACGATGAGAAGACGGGGAAGGGATAGAAGAACGGCGGTGCGAAAGGATAATAACACAACCAGGCGGGCCATGGGAACAATGGTAAGCGTAAAGCAGACAATAGTTTGGATTTTGTGGCTAACACCAACATACATGGTAATGGTCAGCGCCGTAAGGGTAAACCGGCCCTGCGGAGTGGCGGATCAGGTATGAATCTGGAGCGCCTGTTAAATCAGCCTTGCCCAAAGGCATGGGACACAAGAGAAGCCAGCTACGCACCTCTGGAAGGATTGCTTTATTATGCGATAGTTCAAAAACTCAGATCTCTTCCGGTATGATCACGGACCGTGCAGCGGTTTATGATCCGGGTTTCACGGGCCGGGTTATGGTGGAGGTGACTCCGGTTCAGGGTTTCAAGGTAATCAAGGTGGACAGGGCAATCAGGGCAACCAAGGTGGTTATAATCAACAGGGGAATCAGCAACAACAACAGTCGGGTTATCAGAGTAACCCGAAGCTGTTGAATAGTGTACAGTATCATGTCTTCACTACTAGCCTGTGCAAGCGCGATCAGAAACTTCATAAAAGGGCAGTGAACTCTGTTGAACCGGCGGTGCCCCGATATTTGTATTGGTCTGAACAGCCTATTGTGTGGAGTCGAGAAGATCATCCGCCCCGGGTTGATAATCCGGGTCATCTAGCATTGGTGGTCGCACCGCAGATTGGAGGTTATAAGTTCACCAAGGTTCTCATAGATGGAGGGAGCAGTATCAACATATTGTATTATGAAACCTTCCGGCGTATGGGGTTGATGGATAAGAATCTTAAACCGTCGAACATCGTTTTTCACGGTGTGGTGCCTGGTAAATCGTCCTACCCGGTCGGTAAGATAGCTCTGGAGGTTGCTTTTGGAGATGATCATGATTCAAGGTCAGAGACATTTACTTTTGAAGTGGTGAAAATCAGGAGTCCGTGCCATGCCCTGTTTGGACGGTCGGCTTATGCTAAGTTCACATACTAGACTATTCACTTCGATGGATCCAGACAACTTGAGGGCTCGGGGGCTGGAGTGGTTATTACTTCCCCTTGAGGTGACAAGTTTTGTTATGTTCTCCGCCTAATGTTTCCCTATACTAACAATGCAGCTGAGTATGAGGCCTTGCTCCACGGTCTTCGGATGGCTAGGGAGATGAACTTAATCCCGGTACGTTGCTTTGGCGACTCCGATTTAGTGGCTCAGCAAGTGCCTGGTACGTGGGACTCTAAGGATCCACTCATGGCGGCTTATCGGCGTGAGGTGGATATCATTGCCAGTCACTTCAAGGGTTACCAGGTCAAGCACA